AGGAATCTTATCCGAAAGGAAACCGTTCACAATAATCTGCATATTAGCGCCACTATACAAAGTATGAATACAATTGAGAAAAAACGGACCAAAACCTAAATGCTTCAAGAGACTTAGAAGAAAAGATCTATTGACACGATCAAAGGCTTTCTCCTGGTCCAAACTGACTAAAATGCCCGTTTCCCCAGTTCGATCAATAAAATCTAAGGTATCACGAATGAACTGAAGGTTAGAGACTATAGATCTTCCCGGAACAGAACACGTTTGATCCGGATCAATAATAGAATCTAAGACTTTGGATAACCTCAAGGAAAAAGCTTTCGAACAAATTTTATAATCTACATTTAAAAGAGAAATCGGTCTCCAGTTTTTCAGGCACCTTTTATCATCCTTTTTATGAACGAGGCGCGTAACACTAGACTTCATTGAGTCACACAAATCCGAGACACGGAGACACTCATTAAAAACTTCAACTAAAAGAGGACCTAACCTGGACCAGAAGGCCAGATAGAACTCGACTGACAAACCGTCAGGGCCGGGGGTCTTATTGCGATTCGAAAGTTTGAGAGCTATAGTAGCCTCTTCTAGCAATAAGACCCCTTCACAAATCTCTCGATCAGCGTCTGACAGACGGCGCGTGACAAAAGATAATAAATGCTCCTGCACTGTTAAGTCAACAGGTTCCTCGGCAAAGAGAGTAGAAGAGAAATCTTCATGAGCTCTAATTACATCTGTCAACGATGAGACCTCGGTACCGTCCGAGGTAAAGATCGATTGAACGAAGCTTTTCTCGAACTTTTGAGTGGCCGATTTAAAAAAGAACCTAGTTGGAGCTTTGCCCTCCTCTAACCACTTAACACGGCTCCTAATCTTCGCGCTCTCGGATTCCGAAGAAATAAGAGTTCTAAGAGAAACCTCCAGATCAACAATTTCAGATTTCGCAGAAAGATCACCAGAGGTCAGACGACTTTTAGCCGAAATTAACCTATTAGTAAGCAAAACTCTCTGTCGAGAAAGATCTATTCGTCTCAAACGCGAGAAGGAGATCGTAGATGCCTTAATATCCTCCTTAAGCGATTCCCAAAAGGCACAAACAGATTTAAAGGTATGTTTAAAGAGCAAAAACTGGTCAATTAAAGTACGGATCTGTTCACAGTAAGTCTCATCATCTAAAAGAGAATTATTTATTTTCCACACTCCAGGACCAACTCTGGGGGAGTTACTTAAAGCAAGACTTAGAAAAACAAAATCATGATCCGAGAAAACACATGGAGCAATGTTGCACGACAAAACAGACGAGACGAAACCCCTGGGAACTAAAAAGGTGTCTAGACGACTAGCAATCGAGAAGTCAGGGCTGAACCACGTAAACTGAGAATCACGAGGGTATAACGCTCTCCACCCATCCCGAAGAGAAAAGCAAGACTTAAAATCAGATAGCACAGGACTAACAGAAACATTCCCACCGAACTTATCAGAAAGGCTGTCATAACAATTAAAATCTCCCCCAACGACATACTCGGAGTGTGGAAAAAAGAAACTATGAACAGACTGAAAAAAGGGAGCACGCTCAGCAGGCACAGTCGGCGCATATACATTAATAAGATTAATACGAACATTATTAAGATTAACTAGGATGCTAAGGACCCGACCTTCAGTATCCTTTTTCCAAACAGAAAGATTGTCTTGTAAACCACTCGAAAGCAAAATAGCTACACCTCCTTTCCTCCCAACAGCCGGAGACCAAAAGCTAGGGCCCCGCCAGCGGGAAGAAAGGGAATTAATAACTTGTTTATCTGAAATCATAGTTTCTTGAATAAAACAGAAATCTAACTTCTCCTGACAGAAACAACGAACAACCGACGAAAACTTTTCATCACTCAAGCCGCGAACATTAATTGTTAAACCTTTGAAAATGGAAAAAGTCTACTCAGGCGGGTCCTTACCTCTTCTAGGCTTCACTCCTGGTGGGTTGGGTCGGGTTGCCTTACGAACAGGAGCGAAGGAATGGGAGGCTGCTGCTTTCCGGGTCAAATTCTTCCGCTGACCTTTTTTACGGGAAACTCGTTTCCAAGCCGTTGCAACAATGAGGGACAAAAGTGTTGACACACTTCCGAAAAATGGCCCCTTTTTGCATAGTGGATATACTTATCCCCTTCCCCTGTCTACCCCAACCCCTTCCCCCCAAAATCAATGTTGAATTTTGGACCCTCAAGTCTTTTTTTTACTTCAGACAACATTGATTCGGGGGGTCGGGGGATTTACGGCGTTTAAAAGGAATGAAATAATAAATGAATTAAATGTTTGTTAAAAGCACCCGTTTTAAACAAGTGTGTCAACTACTTTTGTCCCTGATTGTCTGAAATATGTATCTGTGTTTTCCGGCTAGATTTTGGACGCTGCTGAATTTTTGTGCGATGATGTTACTCTATGGACCAAATTGTTTGTTTATAAACAACAATTTGAAAAGTTTGGTCCTGATTTGTAGTATACGTAGAGTAAAATGTACGAAGCGTATGTCATTACTTAATCTTGTACTCCCGCGCGCGTTCCTGATACCCTGTCGGGTCGAGAGGAAATCATTTGTGTTGTGATCAATGCCGCTGCTGCGGATGTAATTTTTTTTACAAGTATTATCAATAGTGGAAAAAGGATGGAAACACTAAGGTACAATGAAAATTGTTCTGGTAAATGGTTAACTTAAGCGAATGAAGTACTGCAACATGCAGTATTGTTGACATTGACTTGTGCCATTAGTGAAAGGACGTGAACAATATACAGGTTATGAACCTCATAAATGATGAGCCAGTCGTTTGTGCTATGCCCTATAAATAGATGTTTTTTTTTTTGGAAACCTTTTCAAATCTAGCAGATCCAAACCTTTAGCGTGTGTAGGCGTCGAACAGGTTAGACCAGGTTAGGAATGTACTTTTGTAATGATTTTAGATGACCGCCTGCCATTTATTCAGTGGCATTTTTTTTATTGGTGTTGGGTGGACAACTATTTCATTTCCCAGCTCGTAAATCACAGAATACCAAAGAAATTGTTTTCAAGATAGACACACCGGTTTGTATCATCTCCAAAACAGCAATTACTTTGGCCCAGAAGTTCACTTGATGACAAGGAAAGCGGGATAACACGTGATCGATGACGGCCGTGCTCTGGAAAATCTTCCTTTTTTATGCGCTAATTCCTCACAAAAGGCAAAAGAAGATTCCGCTATGTAGAAAGTACTGCGCAATACGTATTCTTGGCGAGAAAAATTCCAGCGATGTGGTGCAAATAAGGAGTTTCAACGGTTAACCACGAGAATACATATCGACATTAAGAGGTCATAACAGACTTACTATGTTACTTTCCGTTTGCCGAAACTTGGTTAACCGTTGTAACACGAAGGAAGCAGTGTTTTTCTCAGTTTGAGCTGTCGTTTTCTTTGAGAGTCAATCACCAGTTCACGTTTCAAAGCTCTCTTTTCATTTTCTCTCCCGACAATAGACAACAACACAGGGTTTCGCTTGAGAAATGCAGTCCAAATACACAGACATATGCGCTCATGTCACGCTATTTACGTTGCGTTATCATGTCACACAGGGTGTTACGAGGTGGGATTGAAAGTAATTGTTTTCGTGTACACTTGCAATGTTTGCTACGCAGTCCTTAGTTTTTTATTGAATTGACCATGAATTTACCCTCACTTTTCCGTAGTTTCGATATTGAACGCAGTGACGGCGGCTCCTCACTAACGTTCCATATTTCCGTGACTGGCCAGTGACTATCTCCACTACGTGTCAATCCTTACCCTCCCCGTGATTGTTTGCGCCTTAACAATCGGATAAAGTGAAGAACGAGAAATGTTCACTTTATTAAAAATATTTTCAGTACGCATACCCTTGAAATTCATCAAAAGTTGTACATGTGTGCGAGTTTCAGCGTCAGTTTTTAGCATGTAAACCATATCGACGTTTATTCTGGATATCGCAGCCCTTTTACAACGTCATCACTTAATTCGAATTGGCCCTATAATTCGGTCGTGAATAAGTCAATGTCACCCCCACCACCAATAACATAATTATGTCATAGATTCCTTTAATTTCAGTTAAAATCAGTGTCATACACGGCTCAACTTGTGTGCAGTAGCACAATTTTGCATTCAGACAATGAGGGACAAAAGTGTTGACACACTTCCGAAAAATGGCCCCTTTTTGCATAGTGGATATACTTATCCCCTTCCCCTGTCTACCCCAACCCCTTCCCCCCAAAATCAATGTTGAATTTTGGACCCTCAAGTCTTTTTTTTACTTCAGACAACATTGATTCGGGGGGTCGGGGGATTTACGGCGTTTAAAAGGAATGAAATAATAAATGAATTAAATGTTTGTTAAAAGCACCCGTTTTAAACAAGTGTGTCAACTACTTTTGTCCCTGATTGAAGCTGCTGGCACTCTAAAGGGGCAACAGAGTCGCCCATATCATCATCATCGCCATTTTCATCGGAGGGAGTTAAGTCCAAGGCAGGCGCATCAGAAGGAGAGGGCACCTGGGCAAGAGCGCTGTCGGAGACAGAGGGCGCCAGGTCGACAGACGCAGAAGGTAGATCTACTTCAGCAAGGGTGCTGTCAGAAACTGAAGGCACAGGGTCCTCGGACACATGAGGCATCTCCACTTCAGCAAGGGCGCTATCAGTAACAGAAGGCACTGGGTCTTTAGGTGCAGAAGGTATCCGGCCAAGAGTACTATCAGAAACAGATGGAACGAACGTGTCAACAGAAGGCGATGACGCAGGAACGGCAGCCTCAGATGACGGGGAAGGTTGATCTCCAGAGAAAAGAGGGACTTGTGAATCCAAGTCACGAGCACTAACACCAGAGCCGTCGGGCTGGCTTTCAAAATCGGCAGCATCAGGTTGTGAAGGACATGTATCCTCGGTGTCAGCAACGTGGGAAGAGGCTTCCTCCGCAGCAGGAGCAGGAGCAGGACCCTCAGCAACAGTATCCGGGGTAGGAGCAGGAGCAGACTCCACAGGGCTCTCAGCAACAGTATCCGCGGTAGGAGCAAGAGCAGATTCCACAGGATCCCCAGTTACAGTCTCCGGAAAAAGACCTAAGGAAGGCGGGGGCCGTCGGTACCAAGAATGTTGACAATCTATGGCTAGATGACCCTCCTCCTTGCAAATACAACAGCGCATGTCTTCCGGAGACATCCTGGCGTGGTGACCAATACGGTCGCAATTAAGGCAGACCTCGTTCGTGCAGTCCTTGAAAAGGAGGTCCCGAGAATTACAACGACGACATGTGGTCGGCTGGCCGTCGTACTTAACGCGGATCTGGTATTTACCAAAACGCAAGAAACACGGAATATGGGACAGTATATCCATACGTAGGTGGCGGAGACCGTTGAAGACGTCAGGATATCCAGGAACTTTGCCACGGCGAGATGAGAAGATTCTGCCGTACTTGCCAAGACGATGTTCAATCGCCGAATCGGGCAACTCGTGTGGCGCGTTGTAAATGGTGACGAACAAAAGGCGACGTGAGCCAGGGTGCGTAACGAAACGACCACGCCGTACCACAAAGGAGGACCGACGCAGGAACAAATCGCGGTAACGCTTGGACGCGAACGTAATCAACACGTTGCCATTCGGAGATCTCTGCAAGCAACAGACGGCGGAGGCGGGAATGCCATCAGTTAACAGAGCATCAAATATGTCCTTCGTAGTAAAAGCAGCAGAAGGAGCAGTGAAGAACGCGGTGTAGGGCCGGTCAGGCATAACGTTTTCGCGGTGGAAATGTTCTTTCTCGAAGTCTGACAGATAACTAGGGCGAAAAGACACCTCTTCAACACACTCCTCCTCAGGTAGGTTCTTCTTCGCAGCAGCGAGGTAGGTAGGCGCGGCTTTCCCATCACTGTGGTAGTTCTTCTCGGACACGGTTTCAAGATCCACATCACTGGATTCCTCAGATTCACTGGACACATCAACATCAGAAAACGGCACCAGCCGCGACAGGGTGCGGATCAGTTCGCTGCCATCGTCGTCGGCTGAATCACCCCAATCACCGTGATCAGACATCGTCGCAGGAGACGAACCAAGTCGTTCCTGAAAAATCGCTTTAGCGAGAAATTTGGGGTGGGGGGCACGGCGTTCCCGCCCGGCCGGTACTTAGCACAGCCCCCACAAACAAACAAGAAAAAAGCCAAATACACTAAAACTGAACTTTGCCCGTCCCACAAGTATGAGACACTTAAGCAAAAGGCCTATAAGCGATGCCCCTTTAGGTCCTCCGGACCTAGGGTGGTTGGCTCCTTCCCCATCCTAGATATGGTGGTTGCAATACTGTCGCATCCCATGATGCATCTGGCACTCTATGCGAGGACAGGGAGATATCATTGGCTCAGTCTGAGCACAGATACTCGGCCAAGCTCTTCAGGACACTACAGTGTGTATAGACAGGGATCAAATAGCGTCTACACGGTACCCAGGCCCTAACAGCTCGGCCATTAACCCATAGGAGGACAGGGAACACGAAAACGAGGCAGACTGGGACCGATAACTAGGCCCTAAGGGGTTTTTAAAGCCCGCCAAGCTCCGTGTAAGTGGCCGCATCAATTTATTTACAGCTACAAAGGAAGACTTCACAGCCTGTTTTGTAGGTCAGGGTTGCCTGAGGAGGGTCATGAAGTAATGCCTCGCTTACATGTTCACCATACTCGGTATAAGAAGTCAAATTTTCTCTCTTTTCTCTCGCCTACGACCATACCACAGGGAGAACACCGGTTCTCGTCTGATCACCGAAGTTAAGCCCTGTCGGGCGGGGTTAGTACTTGGATGGGTGACCGCCTGGGAATACCCCGTGTTGTAGGCTTCTTCTTTTCTTTTATTTTTCGTGGAATTTTTTCATCATTTTTGCTGTTTTACCGCTTGCTGGAATGTACCTCTGCTGTCAGTTCCAAAGTTACG